TAGTGGGGTCAGTTGGGCACTCTCTTTGAGAAAAAGATCACCATGAGGCAATTCACTCTGCCAGAAATTTGGAAACAGAATTCTGTACTGCTTGGCACTTGCACCAAAAGCTTCAATACGAACATTTCAGAGTGTTTGGGTGTCAATCTGAGGACACTGCAGAAGATTTAGAAAGAGTTGGATGAGTCTAATGCTGATTACGAAGGTATGTCATCACAGGAAACTCACTCTGATTGTTCTGATAAAAAAAAAAAAAAAAAAAAAACCTCAGAACCTCAGACTCAACACAGAGGCCTACATCAAGTGCCTTGAGGAGGTAGTGCTTCCCTGGGTCAAGAGGGTGGCTACTGGAAGATCATATATCTGGCAACAGGACTCTGCACCATACCACACAGCAGAAGAACCCAGTCATGGCTATCAGACAATCTCTGCGACGACATTACTTCTTACATCTTGCCACTTAACTCCCCAGATTGCAACCCCCTTGATTATTATGTGTGGGGTGCAGCTGGGCAATAGACCAACAAGACTCCTTGTAACACCAAACATCAACTGAAGGCAAGGATTATATGTCAGCATTCACCAACTTAAACAAGAAGACCGACCAGTAGAGTTGCAGGAAATTCTGAAGTCATCTGGAGGCTGTGGTTGAAGCCGATGATGATGACATTATTGAATAAATTTACTCTTTAGTATTTCAAGATATAGTTACCAAAATTATATAAAAATATGTTAAAATGAGATGCCAATGTTATTTTCATTTTTGAGTTAAAGATCAAATTCAGATCAAATATGAACTGGAATCCGACAGGATGATGAAATAAAAGAACAAATAGGAAACATATATCAATCTAACATGTTTTCACTTTTATTAAAACTGTCAGAGATTGAGAGAAAACAGACGAAAAGACAGAAACACTGGTATTTGTAATTATGTTTGGGTCAGTTCTCATTGCTCAGACAACATTATTACCAACTATAAACACACACCTAAAACATTCCATTACATTGGCACCATTCCTTAAAGAGGCCAGCCATAAATTAGGACCTTGTGACTCCCCGATCCATGGGTTGACTGCACAAAGATAAAAATAAAACTCCCACTAGACAGACACACACTCAATTATAAATACCATAATTTCTCAAAAATAATACACGTTTTTTTACTGTAAATTACAGGTGGTAGTAGGGGTGTGTATTATAAATAGGTTTAAACAAAAATATTTTTTTCGTTATTGATTTATAATAATAAATATGTACTTGTTGTTCTAAAGTAAGAAAGATATTATCCCAATTTTTATTTTAAATCCAACAATAATAATTGTAATGCTTTTTTGTCAATAACTTTATGTTTATCAGTAACTGCATTTTTTATTTGGCAAAAAAAAAAAATAAATCTATAAAAAGTCCAATTTTAAAAAAAGGGATGTCATTCATAATACTATCTTCGTCCTGTTCAAAATTATCTTCAGCTTCTTCATTCTCTTGCCAAAGGATGTCATCTTCAGAGCCATCAATGGCCGTCATGAGACAACATTTCTTGAAACCTCTCTTTATAACATCCTCACTAACAGAATCCCAAGACTCCTGAATTCATTTTACAATAAGTTACAACTCTGTTTTTTTTCCTGTTGCCACCAGCAGTAAAACTGGAACACCAGAAAACATCCAATCATTCTATTTTTTATGCTTCTCTTATTTAAATGGACTGTTGCAGACAACATCCATTACTTGAAGTTGGCCTGTCATTTTCCACCGACCGGTATAATAATAAGATCAGTCCTCTTCTTCTGAAGTATATTCTTCAATTCGACAATTTATCCATCACACCATGTAGTTGCATAACTAGTCAACAAAGCAGAAGATCAATTCTGATAACTTTCAGTTTGCTTGGGAATATTATGAGAATACTGAACATGAATGAGAAATACAGAGCAACATAAAGTTTTTGATATTTTCTAAGTACAATACAATCACCAAATTGATTAAATATGGCTGCCGTTTTTCTCACAGAGTGTGAGTGTAAACTATTGATAAAACAAATCTTATTACAAGTATATTTTAAAATAATGAAATAAGTAAACATTATTTCAATATATGCCTCACAGTGTTTGTTATGGAAAAAAATATACACAGATGTTTAGTCCCTTTCTTTTCTGTTTCTTCTTTGTTGCTCAATGCTACTTTGCTGATCAACATGTTTTCAGCATGATTTGACCATAGGTGATTTAAAGAGGAAGAGAAATTTCTTTTCAAGATGCTGAATTGGAGTCAAACACACAGAAAAGTTACGTGAAAGTGAGTAAAAGAGGTTATATTTTTATGGTTTATCAACCCCTTATGTGTTATTTAAAGCCAAACATATTTTAAATTGAAGGAGGTTGCTTACAGTACCTAGTGTTACAAAGCAGTCCTCTGAAGAAGGCCAGAGCTTACAATGGCCAAAATGTTGTGAATATGGTCATAAAGATGAGGACAACAGTCTGAATGGTGTAAATAGTGTAAAAAGAATTATGATTCATAAAAAATTTAAATAAAAATGCTGTTAAGTTTTTACAGAGTACAGCTCATATATACTAATTTACCCAGCAGTTGACATGTAAAATCAACAAACATAAATGTATTTCGATGGTCACTCATCTGTCAAGCCATCATGTTGCTACTTAATATTTTGATTGGATAATAAAAGAGAATCAAGCCAATCAGGTAGATTTTTGTTTTTAATCATTTCACTCCAAGCAAGGCAAGAATGTCACTAGTACACAGGAAATTACAGAGAATGAAAGTGAGAGAAAAACTGGGCATGGCGGGGTGCTGAGGAAAGGATAAAAGATGAACAGGGTTCAAGTCAACAGAAGATAGCGATTGATATCGCATTTAAATTTTTGAAGATCATAGTTATCAGGGAAGCAAGTAAATGGAAGAGAGTTCCACAGGCAGGAAGTGCAAGAAAAGAAACTGTTGGAGTAGAAGAGGCGGTTACATTTAACTATTTGAACAGTAAAAGGGTGGGACCTAGATGCCAATCTGTTATAGTGGAACACACCTATTCTATAGTTAATAGACTCTCCCACCTATAATAAGTAAGAGTAATGGAAGTCACTCAGTGAGTTGGTCAGTCAGTCAATGTCGGACGACCGTGAGTCAGATACTAAAAGTATCAGCGACCACCACTAGATTTCTCTGCGTCATTACCTATTATATCAAGTTCCTAACGTTTTGTACGTCGAACCTATTTTAGGACCGACTTAGTACAAATACAAGCCTCCACTGTGAAACCACACTACAACACAATCACACTTTAATTCATGTAATTGGAGCATCAGGGAAAAAGGCTCATCAGAGCAGTTGCCATGAAAATATTTGTAGAAAAAAAACCTATGGAAACGAGTTATTTCTGTACATGTGATTTATAAAACTAACTGTTCATAAATTGATGAAAGCTCTGAATCTAATTTTTAGTGTCAGTACTTACCACATCAAGTCCGAGCTACTTATCACATCAAGTCCCAGCTTTTGCACAGAGTGAGTGCAATGTTGATTTTTCTAAAAGTGAAAAAAAAAAAAATCAACCTGCCCTAATGGAGGAGAACAACAATAAACTCTGAATGCAAATGTTTGTCCTCGTGATGGTATCTTCAAACATTATCCTCACATGGGGATCATACATTATGTCATGATGTGATTGTATTTACTTGATGAATGCCATGGCTACACAAAGGAAAATACCCTACAAGCTCATCATACACTGAGAAGACATTCTGTCATGTAATGATATCAGGAATTCCTGGAATGGTGCTTCTGTTGGAACTTACCATGCTCCCTCCAGACCCCCACCTACACACACCATTTTCTAATTACTTTGGATCCTTACATGTTAAGCCAAACTTTGCAAAATACTCTTTCATGTGTCTCAGTGATACTATATCTTCATTAATATAGACAACATCTATATACGCACACTATTTACATTATTTGGACTATTGTCCTCATCTTTGTTGCCATGTTTTTCACAACATTTCGACCGTTGTACGCTCTAGCCTTTCTCAGGTGGTTGGAATGCCGAACTGAACCCTTTATTTCACTCACTGGGAACCAGTAATAAGGAGTGCCAGAGAAAAGTGATAATAACAAAAATTGCAATAAAAAAAACATGCAATGATAACAGCAAAAATTGCAATATGAGCACTGGTAAAAATGGTTGCTGAAGACATTAGGTTTATAATACCCAGAAATTCATACACCTCAAGAACACATGGCACAGTAGATAACGGCATTAGTTAGATCCAGTGATAGGACCCAAAGAGTGCGAGTTCAATACCTGGTTAAGGCAGTGGAGAACTTTCAGAGGGGAATTAACAGGCGATAACTCACATCCATTAGACATGGCACATGGAACTAGAACAGTCTACCCCAGTGAGTGAAATAAAAGGTTCAGTTTGACATTCCAACCACCTGAAGAAGGCTGGAGCATACAACAGTTGAAATGCTATGATAAACATGGCGACAAAGATGAAGACAATAGTCCAAATAATGTAAACAGTGTACATAATACCTCATCTCAGAAATATAGACAGATCTATATATGTAGATGTCAGTCTGTTGATGGTCCTGTCTTGTCACACTATTGCAGCCATGATTGCTCTCATTATGAGTGACGCCATATTAAGCCTGAAACCTAAGTGAGTGAAGCAGTACCATTGAGCCCTTAAATTCTCTGTCGGCCACAACAACTTATGGACGTATACTTTGAAAGTAGCCTTTTTTTACGTCCAATGTACCAAACATGATCCCCTGCCATCACCACTTTCTTAACTTCTGTGAGTAGAAGAAAGCTAATCACAGGAAGGAAGGACTTGAAACTATTTGGATGCATGGCTCTGTGACGGTTTGCTTTATTTTTACTATAAATGTAAATATTAAATGTATTGATCAAGGACACAATTGGATGCAGCTATATTGTGCAGATCTTCAAAAACAAAACAATAAAACATCCTTACCTTGCAGAAAAGGGGTAACATGTTATAGAGTTTATCCTCTTGTTCCTTCTGAGTAACATTAGGTGTTGGCTGGCGGTACTCCGCAAATAGTTTTCGTAGGTGCATCAACCCCAGGGCATTGTCCTGGGAGCCAATAGCTGATGAAGATGGCTCCGGAGCTGCCCTGGGGCTGACAAACTTCCGCATAAAACTCATCTTTTAGCTGGCAACAGCTGAAAAGTAAAAAAGAATAAATACATCAGTTACATGAGAGAGGAAGAATTAATGAATAAGACAACAATTTCCAGCTGTCAACATTAAGAGAAATGAGTCTAGATTTGTTTACATCTCCAAAGAGGCAAAGGTCATTATTGAATATCCAGATTAGTGCTTTGCTGTATAGTAAGCTCTCCAGTCCCAGAGGTTAGAACAGTTGGCATATGTAGCAAGCTGGAATGTTCTATTCTGCCACTTAGGCAATCCCATTCTCTGAGTCCTGGTTGGCTGCTGGTTCAAGCGTGGATCTTGTGATAGATAAATATCCATGATTCACCATTATGAGTACAGAGCTGTGTTGAATTACAGTTTGTCTGGAACCTTCTTGTGAAGGTTAGTATCACATTGATTGTTTAATGGAGGTGTGGGAGGTTACACATTTCTACTTGGTGTTGTATCCTTTCAGGATACAAGTGATCATGGTTCTCCCCAACTTCCTATCCTTTATAAATCTTAGCAATGTTTGTTTTTGATAACAAAGGGATAAGATACAGACAGAGTTAAGGAATGACACACTGCAAAATAAACCAAGTAATTTGTTACAGGGCAAATCTCATATCAGTTAAGCATGGAAAGTGGAATAAGAACAATCTACCTTGTGGATTGAATAAAGGGTTCAAAATTCACAGAAGGCTATCAAGTACGAGTAACATCTCAATAATGCATGGGGGGAGGGTGTACGATTGACATCTGAAGTATGCCAGAGGGTGAGTATAACAACAAAGATGAAAATACAATTTCTGGCTGAATTTCTAGTATGAGTTATCATGATTTACACTAATTACATTCAGACTACTGTCCTCATCTTGGTTGTTGTAATCATAATGTTTTGGCCATTGTACCCTCGAGCCTTCATCAGGTGTATATCAATCTGGGTAACCTACAAGGAATTCTGAACTGAATTGTCCTACAAGACAATTAAAGCATTGGTGACATAGTGTGCACTAGGAGCGAGCTATAACTGAGCAGTACTAAAAATAAGAACTAGATGAGATATCCCTAGACATGGGCAGTGAAATGAAAACATTTCACCCCTATATATTAAATAAAGGGTTTAGTTTAAAATTCCTTGTAAGTTAACAAGATCAATATACACCTGATGTCGGATTTGGTGCAAGGGTCTTGTGTCCCACCAGCAATTTATTATACAGCCCTCCACCTCTGAATCTATGATATGGGGTCATACACTCTACTACAGCTCAAATTTCATAAGGTTATATTCATATAAAATACAAATTTTATTGAAACCTAATGATGTATAATAATGGATTACATGCAATATAGGTGAACAATTCAACTAGAAAAATTCAAAGTAAATACAATGTATTAGAAACATGTCATAATAGATCATTCGATTTTAAATAAATCAACAATGATTTGCAGCATTTTTTAACATCAACTTGAGATTTTTCTTGTCAAAAAATTGAATTCAACAGTATGGATAAAAATAGTGAACTTAATATAGTGTTTTATTCTTTTTTAAGGTTAGCATGAGCAAAACAAATTCATGGATTTGGACACAAACAAACAAAACAGAATGACATCAAAATCTGCAAAAAATTTTTCATCCCTTAATAGTCAGTTGTAATTAGTTTAATTTGGTTTGGTTTGTTTTACGGCATATCAAACTCAATGGGTCGACAACTTTTTTTTTTCCTGGTAATATTTTTCTTTTATCCAAAATCTATTTCTTTTAATATTTTTTTCCTCAAAAATATATAGATGGTAATATTATTTTTTCAAAAACGTATAGTTGGTAATATTTTTTTTTTTTCTTCAAAAATTAATTTCTGATAATAATTTTTTACAAAGTATTTCTGGTATTAAAACCATTTTTACACTTTTATAATGCTTTTTACCTCACTTTCGAGGTTAACTATTTGCCCATAGCTGAGACCCTAACAGGTGCTACCACCCCGGGTCAGGATGGACCTGGAAACACCAGCAATTAAGAGGTGGTTCCATGCTCCTCAAAGCCTCCTGATCAGAGGCCTTGCTATTGGACATAGTTTATCGTCCATACCCAGGACGCGGATGTAGTTTATCGTCCATACCCAGGACAGTTTAATTTGGAGCATATATAAATGTAGATAGAAAAAAAAAACAAATGTTAAGATGGTGAGAGTCACAAACCACTGTCCAGTGTCCTCAATAAAGCTTGGGGCCCCATCCCGGTCAGGGGTAGCGGCCCAAGCCCCAACCCTACCTGATGTATTTATACATAAGGTAGGTAAACAGCAACCCTAGCTGATGTATTTATTTCAAGCATTTTTTTTTTTCATAAATTTCTTTATTAACTGTTCCTTAAATTAAAATTGATAAGACTGTTATATCAGCGATAGGTAGTAATAGATAGTGCCCCACATGAACTAGCCAGCATATGAGCCAAAATTTTAACTCCATTACGAGGCAAAATTAGCACATTTCATATGAAAAAACTCTGGTGATCTTTTAAATAGGTTAAAAAAAACAAACAAATATGACTAGTTTTAATATAAAATTTTTATATATAAATGTTCCCATAAAGAAATGTCTAAATTAACTAAAGATACATCTAATAAAATAAAATTATTAAAAATTAATACATCCACATTACAAGAATCCGATAAAACAAGAAAATGTTAAAATAGTGAGGGTCACAAAGTACAGCCCAGGGTCTCCAATTAGGCTTGGGTCCCCACACCAGTTAGCGGGTAGTACACACCAACCCTGCCTAATATATTTATTTCAAGCATTTTTTTTTTTTTATAAATTTGTTTTTTTTAAACTATTCCTTAAATTAAAGATTCATACAGTCTCTCTCTTTTTTAACCTTCGACCTCCTTGACTTCATTAAATTGAAATATATTTAATCCATTAACTTATGAAAATAATTTCTGTCATCTGTAGTTGAGGTGTAGAGCTGATAATGATAGAAATTTGCATCATTGAGAATTAAAGGATGAATGATATTCCAAATAAGTTTCAATCTCTCTTTTTTTATATACCATGTCCTTCAGGATATGACAATCATGGTACACCACACTTTATTTTCTTTATTATGTGTGAATTGCTATGACTGCTTGGGAAAGGTAATGAAATGGTTTCCTATTGCCTTCTGAATTCAAAGAGGTAAAGATTTACTGATACAATTTACTAATTAATGCATAGCTGGGGTAGAGAGAAAAATGTGAATTCATACCTAATCAAAATTTGATAAACAAACGAGAAATTATAATTTGGATATAAAGTGAGGGGTCAATTCTATATTACAATCAATATATAAACTGATACCTCACTTTGTGGCCATAGTAGTTTCTATACATTTATATTCCAGAGAAAAGACATGCCTGTGTTTGCTAATCAGTATTTGATTGATTCATTATCTAAGGTTTATCAACCCTTTGCAGGTTATTTAGAGCCAGAAAATATTTTTTTAAATTGGAAAAGATTGGGTGGGTAATAATGATTTAGTGATACATGTCTTACTAATTAATCTATAGCTGGGGAGAGAAAATATGAATTCATACCTAATTAGAATTTGGTAAACAAACAAGAAATAATGTTGATGTAAAGTGGGGTATCAATTCTATAGTACAATCACTATATAAACTGATCACTCACTTTGTGACCACGGTAGTTTCTATATATTTATATTCCAGAGAATAAATAAATCTAAGTGTAACTAACCAGTAGTTGATTGATCCATTTTCTACAAATTATCAACCCTTTGCAGGTTATTTAAAGCCACAGAATATTTTTAGATTGTAAGAAATCTTTCTTTGAGATAATGATTTACTGATAAAAGTAATACTAATTAATCCATAGCCAGGGGGAGAAGAGGTAGATTCATACCTTACCCAAGGGTATATGCACACATGTGAATATAACGAACTCAAATGGAATTGGAACGCTTCTCTCTGATTAATAATTCCAAGCCATTATCCATTACACCACCTGCACATCTAAGCTTACAGCTGCGGGTATTCCTAAGCAGTCACCCATCTAGGTACTGGCCAGGCTCAACATTGCTTAACTTTGGTGATCATACATAAACATGCCATGCAAGGCTAGAGAGCCCAACCTACCCTTGCTATTTAACGAATAGCTTTTGGTTGGAGGTAAAAAAAAAACCTTTCTCAATTATATTTGTGTAAGAGCGACTGCAACAGTCAAGGCTGGAAGTTGAACTTTTTTTTTCTCTAAGCATTTCACCCCAAGCAAGGCGAGAGTGCCACTAGCATGCAAGGGGTTACAGAGAGTGGGAGCAAGAGTAAAGAGGCATGACAGAGGAAAGGATGAAGAGAAGGATAGGGGATAGATCAAGGCATCTGGAGATGTCGATTGAATATTTGGAGATTATAGCTATCAGGGAAGCAAGTAAGAGGAAGGGAGTTCCACAGACAGGAAGTGTGAGACATGAAGCTGTTGGAGTAGAAGAGACAGCTACATTTAACCGTTTTGACAGTGAAAGGGTGGGACTGAAATGCCAACCTAGTAGCACGTTTAAACTGATGCAGTTTGGGAACCAGCGAAAGTAGCTAGTCAGAGCAGTTACCATGAAAGTATTTGTAGAAAAGACAGAGGGTAGCAACAGCATTTCTGTAAGAGAGCGACTGTAAACGAGATGCCAATAACTTGTCAACTCCCTTTTCTGCAACCTACACATTCTTCACTTACTATAGATCAAATAAATTTCACCATCTATCAGTCTTTACCCACCCAAAATGGATAAATAAAATTAAATATGAATATTCCTTCCCAACCTATGAGTAATTTCATGTCAAACTAAGCCATCCTGTGATACAGCCAGGAGAAAGAGCTTATTTATAGGTATTCTGTATGCCAGCAGCTCATATTCAGAGCATGACGAGTGATCATTATTAATGGCTGCCAGATTAATCAGACTGGCACCTATAGCAGAACATCTATCTGGAATAGATTTTTCACAT